TGAGAAGTATGAGTATTCCAGAACACTTCATTGTACTTCTGAGAAATCTGTACCTGGACCAAGAGGCAGTTGTTCGAACAGAGCATGGGAGCACTGAATGTTTTAAAATTGGGAAAGGTGTGCAAAAGGGTTGTGTTCTTTCACCATACTTGTCGAATATGTATGCTGAGCAAATAATACAAGAAGCTGGGTTCTATGAAGGAAAATGTGGCGTCAGGATTGGAGGAAGACTTATTACCCTGAAATATGCAGATGATACAACCTTGCTTGCTGAAAGTGAAGAGGACTTAAAATATTTACTGATGAAGATCAAAGAGCACAGCCTTATATATGGATTACAACTCAATGTAAAGAAAACAAAAATTCTCACCACTGGACCAATAAACAGCATTCTTATCAATGGAGAAGAGATTGAGGTTGTCAAGGACTTCATTCTTCTTGGATGAACTATCAACACTCTTGGAAGCAGCAGTCAAGAGATCAGACGACGTATTGCACTGGGCAACTCTGCTGCACAGGAACTTTTTAAAGTATTGAAGGGCAGAGATGTCAGCTTGAGGACTAAGGTGCGACTGACTCAAGCCATGGTATTTTCAATAACCTCATATGGATGCGAAAGCTGGACAGTGAATAAGGAAGATCGTAGAAGAATTGAGGTCTTTGAGTTGTGGTGTTGGAGGAGAATACTGAAAGTGCCATGGAATGCCAAAAGAACCAGTAGATCTGTTTTGGAAGAAGTGCAACTACAGTGCTCCTTGGAGGCCAAGATGGCTAAGCTTCGTCTCTCATACTTTGGACACATTGTCCAGAGAGAACAGTCACTGGAGAAGGATGTCATGCTAGGTAAGGTGGAGGGTCAGAGAAAAAGAGGAAGACCCCCAACGAGATGGATCAGCCAGGTGACATCATTGATGGTGTCAAGTGTGGCGGTGGTAGTGAGGTTGGCCCAGGATCGGTCATTGTTTCATTCTGCTGTGCATGGGGTCGCTATGAGTCGGTTCCGACTCGATGCCACCTGACAACAACAACCCTCCTACATTTCTATATAGAAATTTTAATGTTTGTTTTTACATTAAGATACTTAAGTCTTGTATATGGTGTTAAATACGGATTTAGCTTCCTCCCCCCCCCAAAAAAAAGTTAAACATGTTATGTTTTAAAGCTTGCCCATTTTTTTTATCCTATAAAATAACCCACTGCAATCCAACTCCTAGTGACTCTATAGGACAAAGCAGAGCTGCTCCCTTGGGTTTCTGAGACTATAAAAATGACACGGCCTCATCTTTCCCCTTCAGAGTAATTGGTGGGTTTGAACCACTGACCTTACAATTACTAGCCCAACACTTAAATAACTGTGCCACCAGGGACTCCTTTTAACCTATAAAGCCAAACCCACGCCCACTGCCATCTTGTCAATTCCAACTCACAGAGACCCTATAAAGGGTTTCTGAGACTACAAATCATTATAGGAGCAGACAGCTCACCTTTATCCTGAGAAGCGGCTTGTGGGTTTGAACTGTCAACCTTGAAGTTAGGGATCTAGTGCTTATCTTATAGCACCACCAGGATTCCCATCTTTTATCCTATTGTTATTAAGTGCTGTCGAGCCAGTTCTGACTCATAGTGACTTTGTATGATAGTGGGTGGTAGTTGTGTGCCATGGAGTTGGTACCAGTTCATAGTGATCCTGAACTGGGTCTCCAAGGCTGTATAAATCTTTACAGGAGCAGAAAGATTCATCGTTCTCCTACAGAACATCTGGTAGTTTTGAACTGCTGACCTTGAGGCTGTACAGTACTCATCAATTCAAGTAGACAACCAATATATATGTCTGCTCCTCACTTACAAACTCCACAAATCTGCCTCTTTCTGCACTGATACTTCATTCTTGATGACTATGGCTTTTCAGTTCTGACATGTGAATGGGTAATTCCTTTCCGTATTACTCTCCACACCCCACACCACTCAAACACTGTCTTGGCTATTTTTTCACATGTACGCTACTAAATATAAATATGCTTTAAAATTAGGTAGAGTTGCATTTAAAAGTCCATTGGGACTTTTAACTTTGATGATACTGAATTATGGATCAACTTACAGAAAAAAATGTATCTTTACACCATAAATGTTTATGTGTGAACAGTGAGCATTCTGCCAGGTATAAACCTTATTTATGTCACACAGTCACAAGCACACACACATACACACTCACGAGCTCAAGTTATTATCATCTGTGCTATTTCTTATCTTTACTACTTTTTATCTATCTGATCTATGAATTTCCGAGGTGTGAAAGTCACACTGTAAAGTAATGCTATTTTTTATTTCTAGCAGATTTTACTTTAAAATCTACAAATGACATGCTGTTTTGTACATACAGATTTGTGACTGTTAGATCTTGTTAGTGGAGAGGTGTGGAGTTGGACCTTGTATCAATACTGAAGTATCCCTCCTCTTTTAGCTTGCTACTCCTTGAATTCCATTTAACTATTACTACTGCAAATTCCTTGTTCTGATTAGCGCTGCATTTTCCCAACTGATCTTTCTTCATCTACTTGTTTTCAAGTGTGCAACAGACTGCCAACTGCCCCCAGCTCCCCTCGACCAAGCCTTCCCTCAGTACTCCAGCTGCTTCTCGGGCTCCCAGCCTTCAGCAGGTTCTGCAGCTGCCCAGCTGGAGCCGCAGTTCTGGCCTCACAGGTGGCTCGTGATGAAGCTGTAGGCCTGTGGGTGGAAGTGACTCATAAAACTCTGCACTATTTCCTTTAGTGGGAACTGCTTTGCCCTCCACTTCTCGCCTTCCCGGGAGTGGGCTCATGTATGCATGCTGGAGAGCCCGTTCCAGCTACCTGAACCAGGACAACATGCAGGGGATGGCACAGTGACAAGACAGAAGCTGAACAATCATGAGGGGCAGCGCTGTCAACTGGGTGCGGTGCCCGTGTGCCAAGATTGCCACCAGAGAGCAACACACTTGTATCTTGGCTACTGTGCTGGGTGGGGGTGTCTTCTTTCACACAGCACAGCGGCCTACACTCTGCCTGGTATCTGCATGATGATGTGCAATTAGAGTGCTTCCGTAACAAAAGTCTACAAAGGAGGCACTAGTGTAACATTTGGGTGGTGGGGCCATGGTGCCAGAGCAAAGCATCTGGAAAAAGTTAACTCCCATTACATGGAGGACACAAGAGAGGAGTCCAGAAGAAAGAACAGAACACAGATGAGCCTCTGAAGATTTCAACAGTATGAGCAGATGGCATTTCTCCCTGAACGTGAGTATCCAGACAGCATGCCCTTTCACATGCACCTGACCAGACGCAAACAGCAGGAAGAAACCCTACTATGAACAAAGGTGGTGGGGAAAGAGAACAGGAACCCTCAAAGCTGTGGTGTTCACTCTAGAGGAATTCCCAAACTGGCTGAAGCTGCATGTGGGGAGAATCCGGTGGTCCCTAAGGAAACATATTTTCTAATAGCGGTTTCAGACAGAGCCACATAGGAGAACCAACAAGGAAGAAACTCCCAGAATATAAGGCTGAGGGCTATGGAGGACAAGAGCGTCCCTCCCAGAGGAGCAAGAAAGTCTAACTTGGGGCAGGGTCCTGGCTATAGACCAGTGATTGCTGGGCACTTCCCCATCATTCCTTTTCCAAATTGGAGTTCTGCTGCTCTTATCTTACTTCTCCTCCATGCTGGTGGTGTAGGGCAGGGAGGGGAACTGATGATCAGGGGAGATAACGTTTTTAGTTTATAGCTCCTGGGCTGCAAGGAGCCACATGCGGAAGTGAAAGAGAATACAAATCATCCCCCAAAGCTGCGGGCAGTAACGGTCTTCCACTTCGTTTTCAGCTCTCTTTATGTGCTCCTATTTCATGGGCTTTTGTATTTAAGTCACATTGTGTGACTACTGCATCAAGGACAATGAACATACACAGGTTTAGAAGCAAGCACACCTGACTCCGAGAGAGCATATGACTCAGCGGGAGGGGTTAGCTTATATCCAGCACCCACTTGTTCTACAGAGGAAACGGCAGGAAAGCCAGCCCGTGTCTATGGTTCTAACATTACAATTTTCAAAAATCATTCAAAGTTGACTTCCAGTTTCATATTCCAGGAGTTTTTAAAAGGAGCACACATGTCTCAACAGCACACAGTAAGTAACTTTAGAGTCTATTCATTTGTTCACCTTGGTCTTTTTATATCAATTTGTTAGTTTCATGCAAATGTCTAAACCATTGTCCTCAAGTCAATTCTGACTCAGAACAACCCTGTAAGACAGTAGAAATGCCCTACAAAAGGCTATCCTAGGCTGTAATACTTTTGGAAGCAGACTGCCACATCTTTCTCTTCCAGAGCAGCTGGTGGGTTTGAACCACGGACCTTTCTACTAGAGGTCAAGTGTTTGACAACTGGGCCACGAGGACTCCCTTACAAAATATCTATTAAATAAAAAACCACGGCTGCTATGAATTCCAGTTCATCGCTACCCTACAGGACAGCATAAGACTGCCCATAGTTTCCAAGGCTGTAATCTTTATGGAAACAGACTGTCTTACCTTGGTCCAGCAGCGTGGCTGTGTGCCGACCTTTCAGTGAGCAGCTGAGTGCTTTGACCGCTGGGCCACAGGGCTCCTTTGAAAACGTTAAGTGCCAGTTCTGATTCATAGCAACTCTGAATAGGGTTTCCGAGGATCAGCTGGTGAGTTTGAACCGTCACCCTTGTGGTTCGAAGTCCAGTACTGTTCCTACAGCAGCACACCAGAAGTGACCCTTAATTCTCAGTTTGTACTTATAAATGAAGGCTTAGGTTGGTGTGAGTTTCTGTATCTCCGAAGGCTATCAGGTGTGGGTTTCTGTTTCTCCGAAGCACACCAGTGCTGAGCGGGTACAGCACACCAGTGGACTGGGCACTCGAGCTGGGTTCTGGTCAGCATGTTTCACTTCTGGAAGACACTCCTTTCCCTCGGTCTCCAGCACTGTCAATTGTGAAGGGCGAGCCTCAAGTGCTGCTCCATGTCTCTCTTTGGCCCCAGAGACGAAGCAGGGAACCTGGTCCTTAGCTTAAGTAGAGAATGGTTCTAGAGCCTTTCACGCAGAAGCGTACACCACCCAAGTTAGTGGCTCTGGGGGCCAATAGGCAGGCCTAGCATTGTGACCCTGGTGATGACTCTCTGGCCAACCCTACTCTTTGAAAGAGTCGACTCAGAGCTTAGAGATGGAAGAAAAGGGCCCACCTCCAAGGCAGTGCTATCTTGTCTTGGTTTGGGTTATGTATTTTCTCTGCATTTTTTCAAATTACAACACTTTCATCCAATATGCTACTAATATTTTATACTATTCCTCAAAATGTCTGGTCTACTGGTGATATTGTTCAGTGCCACTGAGTCAGTTCCAGCTCATAGTGACCCTGTATAAGAGTTTCCAAGGCTATAAATCTTTGCTTCATTTTCTCCTGTGGAGGAGTTGGTGGGCTCAAACAGCCAACCTTGTGGTCCACAGCCCAGTGCTTATCCTACAGAGCTACTGTGTTCCTGATGGTACTCATTCTTAAAATCCGTTACACCAGTTGAGTTGATTCCGACTTGTAGCGAGTCCACGAGTGTCAGAGTAGAACTGCTCCACACTCACGGTTTTCAGTGGCTGATTTTCCACAAGTAGGCTGCTAAGCCATTGTCTGAGGTGCTTCTGAGTGGACTTGAACTGCCAACCTTTCAGTGAGCAACCAAGTGTGTTAACTGTTGGAGTCCTCTCCCATCTTAAACCCTAGTTCATAGTTTCCTCTCACCAGTCCCAGGTCCACAGCACGATACGTGCAGGCTATCTGTGTGTATGTGTGATGTGCACACCAGCAACCCTCAGGCCCAGACCAAGGCGCTCTATGTTGTTGTTAAGTGCCATCAAGTCAGTTCTGACTCATAGCGACCCTGCGGTTCACCACAACCTTGCATTTTAGTGCATTCTCCTGAATCGCTACACCTGGTGACGACTCTCCAGACAACTCTTCTCTTTGAAGGTACAGACTCAGAGCTTAGCGATGAAAGAAAGGGCTCGTCTCCAGGGCAGTCCTCTTCGGCATCTGTTTGGGTTATGAATTTTCAAAATATGGATTCCTAAGTCCCACCCAAGAGTTAAGGGTTTGGTTGGCCTCACGTGGAATCTGTTGGGGATGCAGTCTGTACTTTTCTAAGAGCATCCCCAAGATTCTGCTGCGCATCAGAATGAACACACTCAGCTGTGTTCCATTAGCCCTGCCCTTTAGTATTGTTACCCTGAGGTCAAAGACTCTGATCACATTATCAGGAAGCTCCTAGGGCACTCAGAGAAGGCTAACGATCTGGCCCCCCTCCCTGAACACAGGTCTTAAGTCAGTCTCGGCCACGTCTCCACCTGTCACAGCCTCTGGTCTGCTTGGGGCTCAGGACCTACAGCACTTCAATGCAAGAAGACTACCTTGGGATAAAGAGGATGGGGCACGAAGGATTTTGACATAGCCTTGGTCCCTCGGAGTGCATAGCCCACTGCCTAGACCTGGCTCAAGAGCACGGGACCTACCATAGTCTGATTGGAGAAAGGGTCTGTGTAGTTGATCCTCTGAGTAGTACAATTCATATCTCCCGGCTGGCCAGGGCTCCTCAGAGGAGGAATGACCTCGTAGTGGTGCTTACAGCTGAGCAACTGAGCCTGACCTGGGTATAGGGCAATACCTAGGGACACAGAGAAAGCAAGTGTCAGAAGTCCCCATCCCCAACCACACACCCAAGAATTTCACATTACATGTTTTTTCATTGCCACCAATAACCTATGCTCAGGATTCCCCTGGTGACTGCAGAGGAAAAGAGGGGTTTACAGAAAAGCCCAGACTACTCTCTACTGGAGATGACAGTGCCTCGTCTGCACACCATCCTGACCTGGGACCCAGCAGCCCCAGAGCCTACACCACAGCCCACTACACTAAGAACTTGGCTCAGCACACCTGAGGGGGCCTCCCCTGACCGAGCCTAGCAGTGCCAACCGCACTGCCACCTTCAAACCCCTGCAGATTCAACGAGGCTCTGGGGGTGGGCGTCTCAGTCTTACCTCTGATCTACTGCTCTGACAGGGGCTTCCAGTGAGACCCCGCCAGTCCCTCCAAGCCAAGGCACCAAGTTCAAGGCTCTACTGACAGCAGCTGTTCAAACCTTAGCAGCAGGCATACTGAGAGCATCAGGAACATGCATAGTTCAGAGACGAGGAGACCAGAAACCGGAAGTAAAACCAACAGCTAAGACTGAATCAGACACCCAAAGAGAAGAGGGACCAAGACAAGAGTCAGGCAAAGATGGAAAAAGGAACTGGGGCCAGCAGGCCGTGGGCACCCTGTGGGCAGAGCAGGTGGTAGATACCAGGGTATGCAGAAGCCTGAGCCCCACAGCTTCCAGAGTGGCCAATCAATGCCAGTCTCACCACTCCTGAGCACATAGAGTCTCTGCTGGGCAGAGATGGACTCTCCACTCTAAATCTGGATACCCAAATGGGATCAGAGACATGCACGATGTGGTCTAGGAGCCCCTCCCCAGGCAAGGCCCCTGCCCTCTTCCCCAGCCCTAATCCACCTTGTCAGCCTTAACTCCCACTTCTCCTGACGCGCCTGCCAGTCTCATTCTCTGCAAAGAAGCCCTCTGCCTCCCTCCACTCACTGTGCTTCTGCTGATCTGCACCTGAGACACATTCTCTTTCACCTCTGGACTTTTCAATGGCCAGCCCAAATCCTACCGCCTTCAGAGGTTTCCTTGACCACCCCAATTCTTCAGTGACCACGCGATGTTCTCTCTCCTCGGCACACCACACTGTGCCAGGAACTCTCTGGGTGTGTGCTCTACCACTAGACTGCACTCACCATCTGCCCTGCTACAGCTCCCGGCACTGCTGAGCAGGACGCAGTGAGAACTCAAGGTGAGGATGCTGGCTGGCCACCCCGATCTGGGCCCGGAGGCTGAATCTCGGGCAGACTTTACCTGGGGCATCATAGAGGTCCACCTCCTTGTAAGACACAGACATCACAGGGTGCTTGAGTTTCTCACGGAAGTCCGTGATGGTCTGGTAGACAAGGAAGACGGCCACAGCCATGAGGAGCAGGTAGATGAAGATGAGCAGGACTGAGAAGACGTTCTTCAGGCAGGCCTTGCTGAAGCGGATGCTGCTAGAGGCAGACTCGCTGTCCAGGACTGAATGACAATACCATGTGGTCTGAGTACAAGGCAGGGTGTAGTCAGAGACTGAGCAGACTCCACCCATAAGAGAAGGTGAGGCCACCCATACCCAGGCCTCCCTAGGGACCTCACTCCTCCAACCCTCCAATCATGACAAATGGCACTTAGAAATATTAAGACCATACCTACTTACCTGGCAATGGGGCTCAAAGCTAAAGGAGACTCATTTACTGTCTCTAAGTTTACTTTCTTAAGGAATAGTTATAATCCAACAAATGAACTCCCTGACAGCCCCCAGTTCCAGCTCTACTTAAAACTCTCTGCTCTTCCAGTGTGCCCTTCTCCACTCTGGAACCTTCCAGTTTTCTGGGGCTGTAGTATCAGCACTGGACCTCAAGGTCAGTGGTTTAAACTCACCAGCAGCTCCTCGGAAACCATATACAGGGTTGCTATGCGTTGGGACCAACTGGACAGACCTCAACAACATGCTTTATCTGAAGGAGCCCTGGTGCACAGTCAGTGGCTAAGCGCTCAGCTGGTCACTGAAAGGTCAGTAGTGTGAACCCTCCAGCCACCCTGTGAGACACAGATGTGGTGGTCAGCTTCTGTAAAGATTACAGCCTCGGAAACCCTATGGGTCCTGTAGGTGCAATGAGCTGGAACAGATCTGACGGCTATGGGATTGGTTTATTGCCTAGTCAGGGGCACTGGTGGTGGAACACGACTTCCTAGTTTGATTCCCAGTCAATGTACTTCACACTCAGACACCGTCTGTCAGGGAGACTTGTGTGTTGTTATGATGTTGAACAGGTTTCAGTGGACCTTCCAGACTAAGATAAGACTAGAAAGAAAGTCCTGGTTATCAATTCCTAAAAATCGGCCAATGAAAACCTTATGGATGACAATGGTCCCATCAGAGAATCACAACAGCCCAAGTGCAGAACCCAGCACAGGAATGGCATGGAAACAGGCAGTCTTTGATTCTGCGGTTGGTGGGGTCAGCATGAGTTGAGGTACAACAACAACAGCTGGCCTGGGGCACTTTTCTTCTGTGACTGACCCCTAAGTCATCTTTCAGGCCTCAGTTGGAAAAGAAACCCTGAGTACTTCCTACTTGGTGATCCCACATCCCCTAAACATCCCCTACTTTATCCTTCTGCATGGTCACTTTCATCTTTAGGTTTTTGTTTTGTTTGTTTGTCTTTATCCCCCTGGGTTGTGAGCTCCAGGATGGGAGGAACAGTGCTAGCTTGTTCACAAACGAATCCCTACCCACTCACTCTGTGCCTGGAAGAGAGTTGGCATCCAGTGCTTACACAGTAAATGACCAGGGCACAGCTCTGTCCTCCCTCCTTTGATCTGGTGCCATCCTGAGCCTCAGTCACTCCCACCTTGCTCCCTGTGCTCACCCAGACCCACGGCGGGGAGGTGGAATGCAAGTTCAAAATGGTATCTGTGTGGCTTCTGGCTTCCAACAGTGGCAGATTAACTTGTCTACACCACTCCTTCACAGTTAATAAGAAAATGTGAACATGTAAACATTATTTGAAGGCCCTGGAAAATAACCAAAAGCAGGCAGAAACTGCAGACTCTGCCTGCCCTGAAAGAGAGCAAATGGTGATTAGTATAAATTTGGAGTCTACCTTGAAAGAAAAGTAGAAAGTTGTAACTTTTGCCTGAGGTAATCATGAAGCATGGGTCAGGGTAGCAGAAGACAATGTTCAGGACAGCAAGAAAGTCTGGGAGAAAATCCTGGAATGAAAGGAATCACAGAGGGGTGAACCTCAAAACCAACATAAAACATGCTCAAATCCTTGGTTGCAGATCTCAGGGCACCAGCAAAAGAGTGGCAGCTGGAAACTGAAAGAACTGAGTAGAGATGTCAGCTGCTGCTAAATGCAGGAGAAATAAGAGTTTAGAGTATGAGTGCACCAAATTAGCTGCCTCTTCACAAATGTCAAACAGAATCCAGAATCTCTACACCACCTCTAGTATCATGTTCAATAAAAAAATTATTAGACAATGAGGTGGGCTTGATGGCAGCTAGGGTGGAGGTTCAGTGAAGTTCGCCGTCAGCAATACCACAGAATACCAAGCAAAGCAGATCCAGGGCAGAGCTCCAAAACTCGGAACCACAGAGAGAGGAATAGTTTCAAAGTTTGATAGGTTTATAGCTACTGGAGCTTAAAGCTAAAGAAAGAAATAGTGTACTTTTGAATCTGCCGGGCTCCGAGGCCTGGAGCTGACATCTTGGGCGAGACCAAATGGCAAGGCCAAGCGGGGGAGTAGAAACACCACGGAAAAACGCCTCGGGAACCTTGGAGCAAAGGTGTACAATACACTTTGTCAGTTTTGCTTTGTTCTGATTTTTTTCTTTTTTTTTGGTATCAGGTCCTTGGCACTCGCACTATATGCACACCTCCATTCTGGTGACTAGATGGGGAGCCTCTACTGCTGGCTTCTTCTGCCATGCATGCACACAGATACTCAGCCCAAAGGCAGGCCCTGAACGTTTTTATTTTATTTTTTTAATACGGGAAAGGGCAGGACACAGCTGTAGGAAGGGAAAGAGAGTTTAAAAACAAAACAGGCTGAAAATTAAATTAAAGCCTGAGGTATAGCATAACAACCAACACTGACATCTTGAAATCTCTCAGGCAGCTTTGAAAGGAAGAAGCTTAAGAGAGGACATTACAGTCATATTCATATTAGGCTACAGATTTTGTTTCTTCTTCTTCTCTCCTTCCTCTCCCTTTTCTGTGATTATAGACTGCAGTATTCAGCCTAGTTTTTGGTTTTGGGGTGGTTTTTTTTCCCCACTGGTGCTGTTTTGCTGTTTTATGCTCCCCCTTCTACCTTTGCGGGACTCTCCCTCTTCCTATATTACCCAAGAAGAGTCAGCAACTGCTGCCATATAGACAAGCTATAATCACACTCTAGAAATCACCAAAACCCAGGCAAGAACCAATACCAACTGCCATATGCCAGGGACACAGACAACACCTGTGAAAGCTACGATGAGTTCACCCCCTCCATACACAGAGCAGACAGGGATGGGCAACTTGGACACTGACTACCCAAAATGGGGGTGGCTACAAAGTCAAGAAGTGACTGGCTTAAAAGCTTTCAAGAGGGAACCTAGATTCAGAGGGCGTGAAGGAAGGTAGAATCTCCACTAAGTAGTATCCAATCTGTCTAGGTGGTGCTGATGAAAGGAAAAGTGGATGGGTCTCTTGTGATAAAACAGTGAATAATTGTTGTCAGGACTGATTGTGAGGGTTGGATATGTAAAGATAGACATTTTGTAGCAAGGAGGGGAGTGATTAACTTTTCAGCCTAGGGGCAGAGGTCCCTGGGACCATCAAGGGAAAAGAGAGGAGAGCGGGACCCTACCCAGAGAAGCAGCGATGCATGAGACGGAGGCAGAGATGATGACGTGGAGAGATGGAGCATCTTGGGACTTTAGAACCAGAGAGCGAGAGGGGCTGTGTGCTGACGACTGGGAGGCAGGCTTGCAATGTATACCCTTTGGTTGGTTGATGATGCATGAAGCGGATTATAACCATAGCAATGAAACGATATATGATAGGATGATTGTAAAACTAATGTTCTCCCAAGTAAATGATCACATAATTCACAAAAAGTTACACTGAGTTAAGTAATAATAAAAGTGAAAAGGGAAGCCCACATCTTGATCACATCTTCCTGGAAGCAATCAGAAAGCATAAAAAATACCAAAACACATACTCAATTGAGTATTAAGGCCACAGATAAACACTAAACATGTCCAAGAAGCAAAAGCAGATGACCATATCAGCTCATGTCCAGAAAAAAGACAATGTCTGAAACAAATGACCTAGAGGTAGACCTGGACTCCATTCTGGAAAGAGGGCAGGCCTTGGAAATGCCTGAGAAGGCATTCAGAAAAATGATTACAAAATGATTCAAAACACCTTTCAATGGAGTTGAGGAAAATAAGGAAGAAGTCAGGAAAGCACTAGAGGAACAATCAAATAAGAGAGATACAGCATTGGAAACAATTCAAAACCTACAGAAAGAGGTCCAAATAATCAAATCAATAACAGAATATCAGAATTAGACAATACTCTGAAAGGGCAAAGGAGTAGAATAGATGAGATGGAAGGCCGAACCAGTGAGCTGGAGGACAAATCTCTCAATACCACTAAGATAGAAGAGCAAGCAGAAAAAATGATAAAAAAAAATGAAGAAATTCTAAGATTCATGTTGGACAAAAAGAGCAGTAACTTAAGAATTACTGGCATTTCAAACAAGAAGAATCACACAACTCCACAGAGGAAATGTTGAAGAACTGCTGGAAGAAAGTTTCCCTCACTTCCCGAAAAGTGAAAAACATTCAAGAAGCTCAACAAATCCCAGAAAGGATAGACCAACAGAAGAAAATCACTGAAACGTATGATAATCAAGCTCTCCAAAAATCAAAGATAAGGAGACACTCCTGAAAGCAGCTAGGGAAAACAGAAGTGTCACATACAAAGGCAAGCAAGTCAGATTAAACTTGGATCTCTCAGCAGAAACCATGTAAGCAAGAAGGCAATGGGGAGACATACATAAAACCCTGAAAGAAAAAAATTGCCAACTAAGAATCCTTTATCCAGCAAAGCTATCAATCAAATTTGACAGTGTAATCAAAACATTCCAGGATAAACACAAGCTGAAGGATTTTGCTAAAGCCAACTGTGCACTAGAAAACATCCTAAAGGGTGTTCTATGGACTGAAAACCTACAAGAACAGACAACAACCAGAGATTGACATATGTGGCAGTACCTCCCTTAATTTAGTCCACAGAAGGAAGAGTTGAGAACAGAACAAAACTATAAGAACAATCTCAGAGATTCTGGGAGGTCAGTCTATGATCAAAACAAGTACAATGTAAAAGAAAGTAAACACCTACAAACGAACAGAGATAAAGATAGTGAGAAGGTCAGTTCGATTACAGGATAAAATAGACTGCACTAAATGGAGAGAAAAGTTA